GTCATAGTACTCCTCGGACCCATCAGCTTCAGCCTCATCACGTGCCTCGTTATCTAAGCGATCACGAAGGGATTGGGCTGCGTTGTTGATGTACGTGGGAGTCCAATCGTCCACTCGCTCCTGCAGACGCTTGCCGTCGACCACCATGAACACCGTCCTGCGACGTTTGTCGCATTTCACACCTTCCACCCCTGCTGGTGCTGACCGCAAGCGATGTGTTGCCTCCTGACTGCATGAAACCGCTGCTGCGATAGATGCAACCCGTATGTACTCAAGTCCCGTTGGCGTACATTCGACCCACACCTTCTTAGTAGCATTCAGCTCAAACAGAAGCTTCAAGGTAACTGCATCGTGATGCAAATGCTCATCACCATGGTCGCACTGGACTGCGGGCATATATATATATATATATATATCGAGACAGTTTCTGGTAGACCACCATCCCGTTAGGGCACATGTCTAGAATGCGTTCTCTTCTACGCCCTTCACCCCCTTGGGGGAGTGGTTTGCCTGGACGGTGGTTCCAAGAGGGGCTCATATATACTTCAAGATGTCCACGGATATGTCCCAATATCACGCGATGCCTCAACATGCAGGCATGGATATCACGCGACCCAAGATTGCCCAAGCTTGTCCAAGATATCACGCGATCCAAGATTGCCCAAGAAGTCTCAAGGTCAAGAGATCGATCCAAGAGTGGTCCAAGAGCGGCCTATTCACGCAAGCGAATTAAGGCATCTCCTATTCCTCCTCCTCATCCTTTTTTTGTCATCCTTATGCTCCGTCCTCCTCCCCCTTTCCCTCCTCCCATTTCTCCTCCACCATCCCCCTCTGTTTCAGCCCCTCCTCCTCGCCCCCCTCCCCCGCCACTCCACCTCATCATCCAATGTATCATCCTCCTCCTCTCCTTCCTCCTCCCCTGGTGGGAATGCGCGAAGCGTCCACGATTGCGACATATCCAGAGAACTCCTATTGTTCTTAATGACGCTGGCCCTGTCGCAATCTTGCTGAAGCAATGGGTCGGCCTGCTTCAAGTGGTCCCAAATGGCCTCGGTGCAAGCGGCGTTGCGCATCTTCAAGATCTGATCGAAAAACGAATTTGTCGCCAGAGGCGATTGGCTCTTGGTGGGGTTGGGCACAGATATAAATTTTTGCAGCTGCCTATCCGCTCTCGACAGCTCCACGAAGAGCCCCCCTGCCGTATGCATCACCGCCCTCGGGACCCATGGCTCGCGATCCTTAAGGCCGCCCCCCTCGATGACCGTGCGGAGCTGCACGCTCACTGCCATCTGCAGCTGCAGTGCGTGCGCAGATGCAGCGTGCACTCGCTTGGACACAGCCAAACGCCTGCGGGCCGATGCAATGGACAATTGCAGACGAGTCCGATGCGTGTTGACGCAATGATGCAACGATTGCAGAGGAACGATACCGACGATGCTTTCATACATTTCATAAACACCCCCCACGACACATGGTATGTGTAACCGATGCTGCCAACACGCGAGCCCCATCGCTTCCTGGCCTTCTTAGCCGCGGGCGCAGCAGGCACATCGTCCACCTTGCGCTTGGGCATGAGCGATGCCAGCTGGGCGCTACGGACATCGCCCTTGTTGATGGCGCACTTGTTTGTCAAAATTGGTACATGTACTGATGGGACAGCTGTAGACTTGACGGTCTTGAGCTTCATGTTGGGGGTGCCGTGCTCACCTGAATCCTGTGCGAGCCAGAAGGGGATGACGAGCGAAGACGGTGCCGGCTTCAGCCCTCCAACGCCAGTGTTCGTCTCAGCCTTAGGCATCTTGATGCCACCACTGGGGGCCAACACGATATTGAACGTCAATCCCTTGGGGTCCTTGTATGTCTTCATGAACACATGCCCACACTGAGCTATATCAGTCTGCTTCTTCAAGTAGATTGCCGAAGAGAGTGGGACAAGCACCAGCTCTTCAGCCTCAAACGAACGCGTTACGGTGAGAGCACGAAGCTTAACAGGCGTAATCACGCCACTCAAGTACTTGAGACAGTTGCCGTTCTGGCTGTATACATCATCCAAGGCCAGCCTGATTTTGGCCTCCTCGATACCCCACTGGTAATCGACAGACTTGAGGGGGCCATGATCAGCGAACTTGTCGATCGTTTCCTCTATGGGGGAGCAGCGGGAAAAAAAGATGAGACATGACGACGCAGAGCCAAATGAGATGAGGGAACGACGAACGAGAATTCAAAGGTGTGGGGGTGTATATGCATTCCACATGCATTGCGACGAGGTCGCAAGACTGTCCTTCATAATCGTGGACACGACGAACTTGCCACGTAAGAAGTCGTCGATGGGGTGGCATGTCGCACTGCCCGTGGCCTGAAGCTTCAACTTCACGCCAGTCGCAGCGTCGATGGAGATCAGCTCGTAAATGTTCTCACCCAAGGTGTCGCTCGCCAAGGCGACTTTGGCGCCAACCTCAAACCCCTTGTCACTGAGCTTGTCCACTTGGTTCGACCACTTGCCCGAAGCGGTGTACTCTTTCACATCTGAGCTACGCGCCTGCCCTGTCACGGCTTTGGATGCGCCCTCGCGACCGATCTGCTTCCATGGGCTAGCAACTGCTTTGCCAACGTGCGTTGCCAACGCAGTGGTGAAGCTGACCCCGATGTCATTCAGCGTCTTGCAAGTGCCTAAGCGCTCATCGGGCTTGTTGAACACGAAATGAACTACGCGAACGTCAGTCAATCCCACGATGGTGCCGTAGGCGACCGTGTCTGCCGTGATGCCCTCACCGCATGCGATCTGTCGCACTTTCTGAAGAAATTCATCGGCCACCATTACAATCGTAGACTTCTTATCGCTCGACAAGGCGGTCACGTCGCCTGGCTTCAAAAGCATCTGATGGCCATCCCTCGCGAACTTACCCGTCGCACATGTCATCGCCTTCATGCATGCGAGCTTGAATGTCGCAGCGGCCCCCTCATGCTTGATCTGCACCTCGGCGAGAGACTTCGCCATTGAACCCGTGACCACGCACTGGGAGGTCAGCTGCCGCGAGAAGTCGCGAAGCTCGTTCAGAAAGATCGGGTTGCCGAGGCCGCCAGACAACTCCTTCACATATTTTACTAAGCCATCGATCTCCCCAGGAAAGAGAGAGCCTGCGCGAGTCGCCTCGCGGATCACACTATCCCAATCGATCATGGTGCCACCCGTGTGGTGTCGGTTGGCAATTGCTGCGATCTTGTGCTTGAGACTCATGCGAGATTCGCATCTGGCAATTTGTTGGCCTGCATTGCCAGCCTCCTGAGCAAGATTACTAATCCACGGGAACTCCTTCACGAACTCGTACCGAAAGACCTTCCACTCAATTCCTTCGTCACACGCCTTAGCGTAGTCTGGTTGAACCTCCCGTAACCTCGTCAGTGACAGTTTCCCTTGGTGCGAGATTCTGTCGAAACGCTCTGGCATGACCGTGGGTACTGGAACCCCTGCGTTGATGCAACGCAAACCCATGGATGTGTGGCCGCACGTATAGGATGCGAACTTTGCATCGCAATCATACTGCGGCAGCTGGCCCGCTGAGTCCTCCATTATTTTGAAATTGAAGTTCTTGATTGCATTGTACTCAGGCGTGCCCACTGGTGGAAGTTCCATGCAAGCTGGATTCTGGAGGGCTGAGTTCTTGAATCCATTTTTGAAGATCTTGGAAATCAAATCCATAACCTCGCTCGGAATGATTCCATCTCCGTAACGATTCTCTGTGCACACCATCATATACTTCGAGTGTATTTTTTCTACCCTCAGGCAGTCTATGCCTCTTGCAATGCTGCATACGTCTTCAAGTAATGAGACCACCGCTGCATCAGGATGCAAGTACATGTCCTTGATGGCCATCATCTTGGGGCGGACCTCCGCGATCTGCTGTTCACGGGAGGCGTTCATCACGCCGCGTGCAGGAGGACGCCACAAGCGCCAGCAGCAATCCTCGCCCAAACGGCTGGAGCCCAAACTCTAGTGACATTCAAAAACATGTGCAACAGAGGGTTGCGAATTCGAAATGATATGTTGCATTTGCAATGCACAACATTCTTGTAACGCTCGATACAATATTCTGAATGCGTTCGCACGCAAGTCTGGATCTTGATTTCCGATATGCGTGATCCCGAAAATCCAAGCACATGCATGCGTTTCTGGAGGCAACATCCAAGGAAAACCCGATGCAGCAGCTCTGTTTTCACGTAAGCATGTAAAAGTTAGCGAAGTTAGCAACTTCGCTAACTCAAGCTATCTACCTCCAAATGCACCGCCCGAGTTAGCCGACTTAGTAACATTACTAATGGTTATAACTTACTTGCAACCTAGTTGTAGCTTACTTATAACCTACTTACATGTGCTGCTAACAATTAGTAAGGCCGAGGGCCTTCAGGTGGGGGCCCTGGCCGAGCCTCGGGGCCGTCAGTCGACGTCCAGGAGGCTTTGCGCTACGTCCCGACCTTTGGAGGCCCTCTGGAGGCCCTGGCCGAGCCTCGGGGCCGTGCGCCGACGTGCGGGATGAGCAGAGCCGGTCCCGGGGGAGCGGGTCGAGACCTCGGGGGGTCGACGCCGGGAGCACGTCGTGACGCCGCGGGTCTGGAGGAGGGGCAGAGGAGCGCGCCGCCTCTGAAAATATGGGGACTCCTGTTATTTGTGTGTATTTATTATTTTGTGTCCCTGGGCCCCCTCAGCATCGCCCATCCCATCGGCGATGCGGCTCTGTGCCGATATTCGCCGCGCCGTCGCCGGCGCTGCATCGGCGATGCTGTGCGATGCTCCGATCCCATCTGCGGTGGGGGCGTTGGCTAAGGAATGTACCCAGGAGGCTTCAAACCCTGGTGGGGTCCTCATCCAGTAAGGGCGGCGGTGGTATCCATGGCCAATCCACGACCAGAGTTCGCCTGGCTTCAGACCCTGGATTCCTTATTTAAGGGTTCCTTATCCAATGCCAACACCGTACTTGGACCCGAGTGGGGAGAGCCTCGAGGAGCGAGCAGTCCGCGAGCGCATCCGCGTCGGCCAGGGCCCTGTCGGCGCACGCCGCGTCGGAGCCCTGGGTCAGAGCGGAGACGTGGTCGCAGATGGGGTCCACGCGCAATGCTTTGCGTGGCAATCTTTCCCCAGACCTCCTCGCGTTGTGAAGAACAAATCACGACGGGCGGTTTTTCAAACATTTTCGGCCTCTGGGGGCCCCTCTACTCGGCCTCGGGGCCGTCAGAAATCGACTCAGGACGGAAAGCCGGTCCCAGGGAGTGGGTCCAGACATCTGGGGGTCGACGTCATAGAAAAATCATGACGTTGGACTGGGTGTCCACAGCGGGCGATTTTGCTGTTGCTTCGGACAACGGGACCCTCACGGATCGATCTGGTTCGAGAAGTACAGCAGGAGATGAGGTCCAGGACTCCGGTCGAGTTCTTGTACGATGCTGTAAGTTTTTTTCGCGACTCCGCATCTCTGGGCAGGATTGGGACAAAATATCGTCCCAGGGCGTCTCCCGACGGAGCGCTCTCAGAGCGGCCTGGAGCGATCTAGAAGGAGGCCGCGGCGCCCGCTGCATCCGGCAGAGCTGCCAGATCTCAGAAAACCTCGGATATGTCGGCACCACTTCTAACATACTGGTACTACGTCTGCGTCAGCCCCCTGGGGGCGACGCGCGCTTAGAAATCTTGCATTGTATGCTCTGTGACAGACGTTTTAAAGACATGCCTCCTATGCAACGATATTTCCGGCCCAAGGAGACGCACACACACACACACACACACACACACACGCACGCACGCACACACGCACGCCTCCCCCCCCCACACACACACACACACACACACACACACACACACACACACACACACACACACACACACACACACACACACACACACACACACACACGCACACGCACACGCACACGCACACGCACACGCACACACACACACACACAAGTCGGCACACCTTCCAGGCCCCCCCATACCGATTTCCGTATTTCTGGATGTTCCTCTTTCACCTAGATTCCCAGAGTTGTCGCATCTTCTTGTGGAAAGCAGCGTGTCTTCGTGTGTTTGTGCTTATTGTCTCTCCTGAGATATACGGTCGGACTGGGATACAGGAATGAGGTCGGTTTGGGGAGGGTGCAACCCTATTGTTCTTCGTGTCTACTGGATGTTGTGAAAGATGTGGAGGGTGCCATTGGATGTTCTGTGTGTTCTGGCGGGCGGATTGTCTCATGTTCTTGCAGGATGATCTTCTGTCCTACAAGCCTCGTCAAAAATAAACAGACGACTCCTGAAATCGGTGATTGTGGGGTAAGCGCTTCTCCAATGCTGACGGATGCCTTTTGACTCGGACGCGGTGTTGTCCAAAAACCGACCCCATCCTCTCAGCATTGAAGAGCGCGCTTTCTGACACGTGCCCGAAAGCATAGTGCTCCAGGATCTCAATTTCCATGTCTGGATATTTTTGACGAGGCTTAGGTCGGGCCTGTCCCTCTACAGGGGGAAGATTCAAACATAGTTAAAACATAGTCTGGGGATTATTTTTGTACTATTTTTGATTTTCGTTTTGATATTCGTGGGGTATTCTAAATTTGTCGTCCAAAATCCCCCTGTAGGGGAGAGGCCCGACCTAAGACGAGGCTTGTAGGCCCGGCTGCGCTCTGCCGCGCTCGCGCTGCATGTCCGGGCCAGAGGTACGCTCCCGAGGGGGGCGCGCACGGTCCTGGCAGGTCCCTGTGCGTCCCGCGCTCGGGCCCGGCCTGGCCCTGTTCCGGCCCTGGCTGCGGCCTCCCTAGGGGCGCCCAAGACGCAAGTCGGGCGTGTCCCTCAACAGAAGGATTATTCAAACATAGCAGAAAAATAGTCTGGGCTTTTTGAGTATATTTGACCACGTTCGACTAGGTTTGACTATGTTCGATTATGTTTGATTTCGAAACCAGTAAAACATAAGAAAAACATAAATAAACAATTGTTCGACTATGTTTGATTATATTTTGACTATTTATTGTTTTTCGCCCAAAATCCCCCTGTAGGGGGACATGCCCGACTTAACCCAAAACCCCGAGCGGAGTTCTCTACTCGCAACGTGGTTGCTCACAAACGTCTGGAAAAATACACGGTTTGCCTCGACGTGATGGATCGCGAGGTCCTTTTGGCAGGTCCAGGCCATTTGCGAGAAGTCACTCTGAGAGTTGTGGAACGCGCTTGTCTAAAGACCCATACCCCTCGGGTCATGAAAAAAATCACGGAGGGCGCTTCTCTCCTCCCGAGAGATTTCGGGGGCGCCCAAGACCGACGATCCTGAGACCCCAGACCCCCTGGGGTCATGAAGCAGTAATGGCGAGAGGTTTTTCGCTTTTTCCGGCCTCAGGGGGCCCTCACCGAGCTTCGGGACCGTCCAAAGTCGATTCCGAATGGGAAACCGGTCCCCGGGAGTGGGTCGAGACCTCTGAGGGTCGACGATCAGGAGAAGGAAGTCATGACGTCGGGGGGATGGGGAGTGGGGTGATGACTAGGGGGCGCCCAAGAGAGGTTTTGGTGACTGACTAGGGGGGGGATCTCATGGCCGGGGCCAGGAAGGCTCCCCAGATTTCAGGGCCCCCTCTTCTTCTCTGATCACGTCCCCTGGTCCACCCCTTCGTCCACGCACATGCCTCTGGCCAAGATTTTGCGAACTCCCCCCACTTGGGCACCCCCAGATCATCCGAGACCGAAGATGTCCGGTGACGCTCTGGACGAGCCGGTCGCGACCGACATTCGGCCTCGGGTCCCGAGTTCGGGTAGTAAGCAAGCCGTCGACGTCTTCGCACGCCTCGCAGGGACCCCGACGCGCCGTCCTTTCGTTACCGAGATCCGACCCCCCTTCGTCGCAAGCGAAAGTGGGCGCGGCCAGAATCCGCTACCGAAAATTACCAGGCGCGGATGATCGGGGCTGACAAGTCCTGATGATCATCGGCAAGTTGCCGATGATCCTCAGGACTCGTGTTAGCCCTGTGTGTGTGTCTGTGTGCGTGCGTGCGTGCGTGCGTGCGTGTGTGTGTGTGTGTGTGTGCGTCTGGTTACCCCGTGCAGCTCGATCGATAGCACGCAGCCTGCCACGGCCCTCGTCTTACCTCCTGCGTCGTATCGAAGGGCCTCGGTGGACAAACTTTTTGGTCCGACCGCGCTGGCGGACGCGAGTGCGAATGCAGGGCCGTCGGGATGCGCTGGGCGCTGGGCGCCTTAGAGCGGATGGGAAAGCAGAGGGTGGCCGCGGAGGCAGAGGGAGGGAGGGAGGCGCCGCCAAGAAGAATCCGCGTATGAGGCGGGCGAGCGCAGGCTCCCTCAGCGACGCCGGTGTGGAGGCAGGTGTTGTGCAGGGCGTGCCCAGGTGACGGCCAGGCTGACCACTTCGGTGGACAAGCACACGGTGGCGCCAACACGCGTTCCCCAGACAGGCGACGTCGTGGTGCGCTCGTGGCGTCCTGGCCCCCAGAGGTCTCGACCCAATCCCCGGGACGGGCTTTTCCTCCCGAGTGTTTTTTTCTGTTGACGGCCTTGGGCTCCCCTGTCGCCCATTTTGTTTCATGGCCAGAGGGGGTCTGGGGTTGGACGGTCGTCGATTTTGTGCGCCCCCGACCTCTCTCTGGAGGGTCAAATAGATGCAGACACAGACAGACGCCTATCCCCATGAAACTATCGGAAGCGAAGGGGAAGACGGAGATCCATAAGACATGGACACATCTAGGGAATCCGTGCATGTGTATCTGCTTCTTTGTGTCTCCCTGGGTACCCCCGAAATCTGACAACGCGCACCAGTGGGTAGGGGGATGGGGGAAGACTTCTCAGAAGGAGGTTGCTTCTTAGAAGACGCCAGCCGTACATCTATAGATAAGGTTCGCGCTTGCTGAAAAAGCAGGGGTGCTTCTGAGAAGCGTTCCACCTCACCTTACACCCTTCTGCACCTGCGGATTTCTTGGATCTGCGCTGGATCTGTGGTCTCTTGGACCCAAAGTTTATTCCCTACCTAGGCTCTGCCTAGAAGGGTTCTTACTCGGTGGCTTAAAGGGCCAGGCAGTGGGGCCCACCCCGGGCGGTTCCCCCAGTATCCGCCCCGCGGTTCCCCCAGTTGCGCCCCCTGGGTTCACCCAGCTTAGCTTAGCTAAGCTTAGTTTAGCGTAGCTTAGCTTAGCTTAGCTTAGCTTATCTCATCTTAGCTTAGCTTAGCTTAGCTTTGCCTAGCCTAGCTTAGCTTAGCTAGGCTTCGCTTCGCTTAGCTTAGCTTAGCTTAGCTGGGCTTGGTTTAGCTTGGCTTAGCTTAGCCTAGCCTAGCTTAGCTTAGCTTAGATTTGCTTAGTTTAGCTTAGCATAGCTTAGCTTAGCGCAGCGCAGCATAGCGCAGCGCCGCATTAGCACATCCTATCATAGCATAGTATAACCACGCATAGCATAGCATATCATAACTCAGCATAGCATAGCATAGCAGAGCATAGCTCAGCATATCATATCATAGCATAACATTGTTTAGCATATCACACCACAGCATAACATAGCATAGCACAGCACATCATGGCATATCATATCATGTCATAGCATAGCGCAGCATATCATAGCATAGCATATCACAGCATATCATAGCATAGCATAGCATAGCATAGCATAGCGCAGCATAGCATATCATAGCATAGCCTAGCATTGCATAGCATAGCGTAGATGCAGGTGAATATGTTAATATAGCTGTCGGTGTAGATGTAGATGTTGCTTTCCTAGATGCTCCAACTCCTAGGTAGGGTCGCGCTGGGATAATGTTTATGACGTTTTCTTTCCTTTACACGGTCGGACCGAGGTGTGGTGTAGAATCGAGGTCGGTTCGGGGAGGGTACTTCACTGTTCTTCATGCTTGTTGGATCTTCTTGCGCATCCTGGGGAGGGCATACGCTTGGATGTTCTGTGTGGTTTAGCCGGCGGAGGGTTTCATGTCCTTGAACCCAGACCCCCGACCAGAGGTCTGGGCCTATTCCTGGGGACTGGTTTTTCATCCCGAGTCGTTTTTTGACGGTCCCGAGGCCCGGCGTGGGCCCCCAGCGGCCGAAAGTACGGGCACACCTCCCGTCATGATCTCCCCATGACTCTCGAGGGGGCCTGTGGGAAGGATGTCACTCTCTGCCCCTTGGCCCGGCGCTGCTTCTCGCCGTGCCTCCCGCGGCTCGCCCCCGAGAAGCCCCCCAGAGGTCGGCGGCCTGCAGCGAGAGGACCTCCCACGCCAGGTCGGAGTCCGGCAGCGGCGCGCGGGAGCCCGGGAGCCCCGCGGCGGCGGGCCTCTGTCGGGGGCCCTGGGGCGGGGCGGAGAG